TGGCGCTCATGGCTGTGTGTATTCGAAGGATACGGTGAGGTCATATCTGAGGGACAGCAGCTCTCCTCCTTGGTCTTTGAGGTCGTAGATGAGCTTAGAATCTTCTCCATACTTCCCTGTCAGTGTTTCCTACACACCACAGAGAGATAACAAACCTACATTTTAGAATGTGAGATGATCTCGAGTTACATTGTGTGTTAAAGTTGGTGTGAAAATCTACCTTTAGTTCAAAAACAGGCGTGTCGATGGTCTCGGCTCCGTGGCGTTTGAAGCAGCCGATGATGGTGTTGAAGACTTTCTCTCTGATGGCCATCTGCTTGGGGTTGTAGTCCCTCGTTCCCTGACACAGGAAGACATTTGCTGTGTTTCAGAATGACTGTCAAGGAATTCTACCCAGACTTTTGATTTGTTTCAAAATTTTAAAAATAAACAAAAAATAATTAAATAAATTAAAAAAGATAACATTGCCTGGTGTCAGTTACTGTTTGTCATTTTTCATGTTAACTGAAGATGAAGATTTTTTAAAAGGTGTTTGGAAATATTCTGGTGATGAAGATGAACCGTGATACACTTCTGTATCTGCACAATGACGTGATTGAAGGTATTCACATTTCAACTGTAAATGCACGAGTGTGTGTGGTCTTACCTTTGCTGTCTTGAGGACAAACTGATGTTTGCCATCATCTCCTCCTAACTGAGCCTTCAGCTGCAGCAGTTTGGCTACCTCTTCATCAATCTGCAACACACACACACACACACACACACACACACACACACACACACACACACACACACACACACACACACACACCAGAAGATAAGGACATTGTTAACACTTACTGTGAGAAACATCAGTGAGAAAAACTAGACAACATTTTACTACAAGAAATTTTGGCAAACACACACACATGCATCACACAGCACCAGAGGCCTACCTGAGCCACAGTGATCCCAGGGAGAGAATGCAGAGATCGGACACGTGTTGCAGTCCGACAGCCCACCAGACCAGAACAAGCACGAATACAAAACATGCCCAGCATGTTCATCCCACAGCACAGGGCATACAAATCATAGGGATAAAAAAAAAAAAAAAAAAAAAAAAAGTCCAGAAATTGGTCGAGCAAAAGTTCAGGAGTGCATCATGGGTACAGTCCAGTGGTATTGTCAAGCAGCAGCACAGCAGCCAATCACAATGGTCAGTAGAAGGAGAAGCAGGAAGTGAGTTGAGCAATGATGTCCAGGAGGGTTGGATTCCGCAGACAGCGAGGTAGATGATGGTGATGACGAAGGGCGAGGCAGGCCGAGGTCATCCGGGATCAGGCAGGAAGAACAGGAGAAAAGTAGTAAGCAACCCTAGCACTAGGGGAGGGCGGGGCATGACGCATCATCATCATCATCATCATCACAGCGTGGAGGATAGAACATGAGATGTACCAAGTCAATCAAAGCAGCAAGCCCAACACAACACACACACCCACACACACACACACACACACACACACACACACACACACACACACACACACACACACACACCCCTAGTATCATATCTATGTGTCCGGAGTATTTAGTGTTTCTAGCAGTGTGTATTTTTCCTAAAAAGAAAGTGAACAAAAATGACAATTTGAAATTGTAAAATGTGACTTTTGTATGCAGCCTCCAATTAAATGATGTAGAAATGTAGCTTTTTAATCAGGTTATCAAGTACCAAAAGGATACCCCACAAGTATCTGCTGGACGGAGCAACACACCGGCGACATATGACCCATGTGCGAACCCCTGTACCTATATAGTAGTTATCCATGTAAGACAGCACACAGGCGGAGTTGTGACACCGAAATATGCCGCTGTCCACTTTCTCAGTGACAACATGTGTCAACTCTTCAGAAAAGTAGCTATTTTAATTGCATTTGCTCCACAGATTGGCACATTGGCTACTGTTCCTTGACTACTTGTGTCTGTATGATGCCTGTGTCTGGTGTAAAGGGAAAGGCAAATTCAACAGGCATTGTTGGATTGTCTCAGGCATTATTCTAAGTCAAAGTAGACTGCAAGAAGCCCAAATGTAACACTAAATGAAAACATAAATGTTTTTCATGTCTAAATGTTAGATCATATGTGTGCATAAACAGTGTGTGATTACTGGTGTAGTAAAGCCTCTATGATCCTGACATAACAGCAGAGAATTCAGACCAAACAAGACACAGACACATACAGGAGGACACATACAAAGCTTACAGAGAATAAGATCAGAAAAGAGACAAAATGATGATCTGACAAGTTTACTGAGGAATTCCTGGCACAATGAAGCCAAATGCATCAAAGCTCTAAAATGAAAAATAAGAAAAGTTTGTTTCGCACAAAACTTTAAAAATGTAAATGATACACCCAGTTTGGGCCTTTCTCCACCTGCTGCACCGTCCTCTATAGTGACTGGCAGAAAGACATCGTGAATATCAAAGAGGAACAACAAACAAGTTTGAAATTTGAATGAAATAAATGTGCTTATTGTAGTTCAGAACAGCTGAGATGAAGGCTGACACCTAGATCTAGTCTTAAGTAATGTTCTGTGTGCTTGCTGTTCTAGTGCAGCATTATATATATATATATGTGTGTGTGTGTGTGTGTGTGTGTGTGTCTCGTTTGTTGTGGTACTCTGCCTCTAACTGACCACAGATCTAACAGTAGGATGGCACCAGGAGAAACCACTGGGAGAAACCTGGTTACCTGGTTCCTGACAACATCAGCCTGTGTTAATAAGGGCAGATATTGCATCAGCTATCCTTGGACATTTCGACAGTCACATTTAAGGTAATGTTTAAACGAGTCGTGACAAGGTTATCTAAAAACGTCCCTTTGGAAATAAAATGTACTGTATCAGCTGGCTAATTATCTGTCATTTTAAGCGTTAGCCCTGTTAGCTCTAGCTACTTTAGCTAACTCGACAGAGCTAAGGAAGGCGGTTAGCGGACATGTCTGGTTAGCCGCTCCATTTGAATTAAAGTTAAGTTAAAGCTAACATATAGCCGGGTTGTCTACAATGGAAACACCGGTAGAACATTGGGACTTTCTCCTCTAACGTTACCTGAAATGTGCATTATGAAGCAGCTGACGTGATAGCACAAAGCTAATGGCCCCAGCGCGAGGAGCTCTAGCTGTTGTGTCGTTTTTGAATCGCTCGAGTTTACACTAATTTAATGTTCACTCACTGGTCAGTGAACACATGTGCACTGTGGAATATCACGAGTGACATTTTGTAAATACTTGGTGTCTTCCAGTTAATTCGGCACACAAATAACAGAGAAAGACGTTCTTATTTAAATAAAAAATAACAGCCGACTTTACCATGGGCGTTTTATTTAACTATAACCCTTAATACGTTAACAGTTTGTGGACCTAACGTTAAGCTTCGTCGAATAAAGGAGTGACTCATAATGAAACAAAAAGTAACGTTGCGGGCAACATGGTGGCTGCAATAATTTGACAGAGAGGGAACATGGGGTTTGGTCTGTGGACTCTCAGTCGGCTATGCTGTATGAATGAAGTTGTTCAGAATGTGTGGACATGCAGGTCACCGCATGTTAACAACTTGCTTTGACATCAGCATTCCCGCTGAGAGCTCAGTGTGAGGACTGACCTGCTCTTTGCTCGCCTTCTCTGACTTCAACTTCCGAACGACTTCACCTTGGGTTTTAATCGCTTCTTGTATCTGTGCTTTGTCTTCCATGGCTTTTCATTAATGTATTTCCACCGCAGCTCACACCTCCGGCAACCCAGCAGCTGTCAAGACTAGACTGGCCTCAAGCGGATACGGAAACAAACAGGCTAAAAACCAACGTTAAAAGTGCATGGCGCCACCTGCTGTACCGGAGTATAACCTCATGACTGTGTAATGAATGTATATTCTGGATGTTAAACCTGCTTCGTTTAAATATTTACATAAATATCTTTCAACCTGAGATTATTTGCCCCCTATGTCCGACAAACCTCATATACTCCTGTCTCCTTCCCATAATCCACCCCTCTGTCCTTCAATATTTTTCTATGGGCTACTGAACTTCCTACAAACCATCAGCAAATGTTCAACAGCCTCTTTATAATTATAATTTCACATTCATGTGACTCTTTCTTGTCCTAATCAAAAGGACATACATACATACATACATCAAAATCTTCTTTCCTATATTTACATCTATTCTCATTCTGACAGACTTTGAATTGTGTAATAATCTCTACCATTATTTAACTCAGTGATACCCATTCCCTTTTCCCAGCTGCCCTCGAAACTGTCTGAAGACAGGGAGGTTAGTGATAGTAGCATGTTATACAGATAGGAGGTCAAGTTGTCCTAAAATAGGGGGCCAAGACAGTCATGCTTAACGCTTTATTGTAGCTGAATTTATCCTCCCTCATATACTGCAATATGATTCGGGGCACCACTTATCCCACCAGCCATCGTAAGCTTTCTTTTGTACCAAAAATGTGCAGTGAAGAATTGACACATTTAACAGTAAGTCTGATCTCTCCACTCAGCTCAGTAATCAATATCAAAATATTATATGGTAACGTCTGTGTGCTTTGCTCCACAGGCCTTGTAAAGTACTTTTTCAGACTAATTGTGAAATTTTTATGATTTGTTATGACCACTTTTTAGATAAAAAAACAAAAACATAATGGGTTAGGGTTAGGGTTAGGGTTACAAATGAAATCCAACAATTAAAATATTACAGAAATAAAATATTCAACAACTGCAGATGAAGTATTTTTAATAACAACAAAGCACCAACCCCCTGTACTCCAGTACTTGAATTTCTGTCAAGGTAAATCCCATTTGTTCCATTTAAAACAAGTTCTGAACTTGGATGGCCACTGCCATCTTTCACCTTTTGGAGCCTCTTATATTTCTGTCAAATTTGGCACCTTGGTCTTGAAATCCCGCCCATAGGTCTAACTCAGCCACCAGCAGGACTCAGCTGTCAATCATGAGGTGAAACCCCCTTTTCATAGCTTCAGATTGCTAATTAAAACCAAACTGATCAGAGAAATCAACACTTGAACATCAGTGTGCTAAGAACTACCTAAAATGACAGGAACCCTCTTTGGGAAAAGTGTATTTGACGTGTACTTTGATTATTTAGTTTGTCCCATCTGCTAACATGGAGACAGCAGGCTTTATTACCTATACTGCAGTCGGCCACCAGGGGGTGATACAGGTGTTTTGGCTTCACTGTTGGAGTGCTGGCGTGTTGTCCAGCTTTATATATGTCAGTGGTTCAAACTAAGCCCATTCAAAAGGTTAGGTGTAGTGAAAGATCATGATCTGGGTTAAAATAACATTACATTATGTAAATCACGTGATGTAAATGACGCTCCAAGTCATGTGATGCACCTAACTTAACCTACAACTTAAAATAACTCAACATTTACTGGTGGTGTCGTGTTGGAAACTCCAGTGTCCTGGGTGAAAGTCCTGAGTTAGTTTGAGCTGTCCCCAACACATCCAGGTGTGGAACTGCTTCTTATATTAGATGCCCTGAAGCGGATGGGTTTCCATGGAAGCCCTGTGCACTGGGGGCTGTGAGCGTCAGTATTTAACGACATGGGAATGAAACACCAAAATACAGAGCTGTATGAAATATCTTTATTGTGGTCAGTTAGAATATTTTCAAGACTCAGTCTTTAAATACAAAATGGTCAAAGTTAAATAAATAAATACAAATAGAGCACATAAATATAATAAATAATGACATAGAATGACAACAGCTAGCAGATTGTGTCTCTCACAGAGAAACAGAATCTATGAAACAGACAGTGAGACCGACAGATGAGACATGTCAGTGTTGCTGTTGAGTTGGTGTAACAGCTGCGTGTCTGATGGAGGTCACCAGCATGTGCAACTGATCCAGGTGCAGTTTAGTTTCCTTCCTGATCAGCTCCCAGGATGCAGCACTGCCCCCCTGTACACACAGAACGGCACTCAGTTCCACTACTTTACCCAGTGAATACAATTTTACAGTGCATAGTAACACAGTATGTGTACTTACGGTGCGGTACAGAGTGCGTCTGGCCAGTCTCTTGTAGTATTTTCTCAGTCTTTTGTCTGCTCGCTTCTTAGTTGACACCTGAAGACAAAAACACAAGTGAGATTGTTTTTCTGTTTGGTGGTAAAACCTGAAGCTAAAGGTATAGGCAGTTGTATCGGAAATTTCCGTTGAAGAGTATAATAGTCATTTGGCAGAAATATAAGAGGGTGTATGTCACTTGAAGTGAAAGCACTAAGGACTTTGAGTGTCAGTTGAGCTGTCAGTGCTAAAAGGAGCTGAAACGTCGCTTGAAGTGTCAAAAGAGCTGGAATGTTGATGTCAGTGCAAGTCGAACAGTGAAATTAAAATATAAGTACTCAAAGTGCCATTTAAAATCCAAGCACAGTTTGAAGCGCCACTAAATGTCCACAAAAGGCCATAAACTCAAAGATGTCAGTTAAAGTGTCTCCAAAAGGACTTTAAGTACTATCAGTTGAAGTGAAGAGCTGAAAGGAGTTGAAGTGTCTGTCTGTCTGTCTGTCTGTCTGTCTGTCTACTCACACAGCCGTTGAGTTCGTCTGCCTGTCTGTGGATGATCGTCAGGAAGTGTTCGGTCTTGGTGGCATCCAAGGTACTGGAGGTGAAGTTGCTATAGAGATCAGAAATCAGCTCCAGGCTGTCTCTGATGAAAACCAACTGGGACTCCCTCTGGAGAGAGGGCACAAGACAGAGAGAGAGAGAGAGACAGGTGTGAATTCTAGCTCTCTGATTGGCTGATGTCATCAGCATGAGAATAATAATATACGATAGATAGATAGATAGATAGATAGATAGATAGATAGATAGATAGATAGATAGATAGATAGATAGATAGATAGATGGATAGATTACCTCATCACCATGTATGCGTCGGTAGAGTTTCTTTGGAAAAGTAACTGGACTCTCCTGTTCAGTTAGTTCACCGCCCTGAAACATAAAGATAACACTTCATTTCAGCACAGAAAAAGTTTGATGGTTTCCATCAGTGTTCATGGTTCAGGAGGTTTCTACCTTTGTTTGAAACATTAGGGAGAATGGAAGTACACATCTCAACTACACATAGAACATACAGCTAGAGCTTATAGTCATTTTAATGTGAAAATAGATATTATACCTTGTATTAAATTAAAGGTATAATTTTTTCTCAAATTATAATATTTTATATATATTAAAATACTTTTCTTACCTACAAACATTTTTGAAATAAAAAACATGAACAAATCTGACAAAATACTTGACTGTATAAAGTTTCACATACATGTAAGCATACTTATTTGTAACATACATGCACATATTGAGATTTTGTGTGAGATCTGATCCTAATCAGATGTTTCCTGGTGTTGTAGTTTCTTAAAGCTCCACTAGATGTTCTTAACGAGTCAACAGCAACTTTAAAGGTCCAGTTCAGAGTTTTCAGAGACAGTCATGCGTCCATCAGTGTGTTATTGTCTGTAATCATTCTTCATGTCACACCAACCTTTAATCATCTGCCCGTCGGACTGTATGAATCAACTTTATTGTCACACAGCACAATGTATAATGAAATTTGTCCTCTGCCTTTAACCCAGCCAATACTAGGAGCAGTACAGCGTCAGGGAACCAACTCAAGAATTAAACCCAGGACCTTCTTTCTGCCCCGTTCATCCAACATAAAATCTACTGGTTCCACCTTTATTTTGGTCTTGACCACATACAAAACAACAGTGGAGTAAATGATCACAATTCACTGCTGATCATATTTTGCATTACTTTGGAAAAATTTATTGTTTGGATTCACTGAATGTGACAGGAATCCCTGTTCTATTTGATTAATTTGCTTATTATTTTACATTCACAATCTAAATTATTTCGCAAAAATCAAAGTTTTAAGAGCTGACTGTTCACTTACTGAGCCACTGTGCTGCATTCCAAACCCTGTTCTCACCATGCAGTGGATTTCATTTTTAAAATCCTTATTCATTCATGTGTTTTTATTATAAAAGAATAAACGAATACACTATTATTAACACATCCCACACCTGTCCTGGGACATTCAATGCATTCTATCTATGAAATAATCAGTTTAAATGGAAGTTTAAACATAGATTTAATATGCATTGTTCTTACCATTTGCTGGAGGAGACGCAGAGACTCGCTGCTCAGTTGAGTGTAGTGTGTGAGCCAATCACAGCAGAGCGCAGGAGTCAGGGCGCTGCAGAGGATGAAGAGCAGGATGGTCCAGCTGAACATGATGAAGATGGCGATGCTGATGGTGACGATTGTTGACAACAGTGGTGGCTGCACAATGAGTTCTGATGTGTGTTCGACATGCTGCTGGAGTTCAGGACTTTTATTCCAGAGAGGAAACAGAAAACTCATCAAAGTGAAAGACAAAAAGTCCAAAAGTTGTTTCTACTCTCCCTTTTAGACACACACACACACACACACACCAAAACACAACATCAGATCATGAAATAATCATTTAAAGAGGATTTATGAGCTAAATCAGCACATTTTTTAGAAATGAATAAATGATTCTACAGCATATTATGTTACATATATTATAAATAAAGTATTTTAGTGTTAATTGTTGATTTGGGAAGTGTTTTTCTTTGGGCTGTAAAAAGTCCCTTCACTTTCATTTTTCAAACCAGCTGTCAGAATAGCAGTCAATGGTCATGTCAGATAGCACAATCACAGGAAGTCACACACAGCTCTCCAAAATAAAAGCTGACAATTATTTTCTTGCTCAACAAATCAGTAGAGTCCCAAGTTTACTGAACGAATGAGTGTTAGTGTGTGATACAAATATACTGTAGACACGTTACCGACAGATCACAGAAAATGCAGAGTGTCTGTAAATTATCCAGTCTAATGTTATAACCGGAAATGTTTTTATTTTGAAGCAGCATCTCATCTACTGTATTAGAGTTGATATTGATTTTGTCTGACAGCTGACATCAGCCTCGTTTTATGCGGTTTGTAAATCCGTTTGCCTCACTGATGATGCAACGCTGTGATGTCACCCACTCGTTGTTTTGCCTTTCTACATATCTGGAGGGGATCTTTTAAGTTCCAAAAGTAAAAGTTCAAAATAGTCAGTTTTACAATATTACTGTATATTATATTACTGGATTATAATAATTGATAGATGAATGTGTTCATTAGTGTTGCAGCTGGTAAAGGCGGGGCTCATTCTAATGACTATATACTGTTATAGGTTAATTTATTATATTTAATCAATTTAGGCCTATGAGTTGATTTTAAAAGGATTTTTACTAACGTTAGCTATCACTACATAAACGTTGTATAATTATTCATTAAAAATGATTCTGGTAATTTCACTGGTGTAGCGAGGAAACTGGGTGTGCTTGACATCATAGAAATGCATCATAAGACTGTGGTGTGCTGCTGTTAGAGGGTCACTTAGTGAACAGCACAAATCACATGGAATCTGATCTTTTCCGTTCTCATTCATTTCATATGTGGTCCCAATCAGATACAGGTCTGACTCTGTGACCTCGAGGTGAACCGAATTCAGTGTGGACTTGAGCTTACAGTACTTTGGAGACCCTGTCTCTGTAAGCTCTTTATTTTGTTTCATTTATAAAGTATTTCAAATATGTACATTGTGTTACTGATGAGGTAAAAAACGCCTCATTATGGAATATGACAGGCACAGAGGCTTTATTTTGTTTTACTGAGAGAAAAAAACAAGAACCTGTTGGGTTGCCATGGTTTATCATGTTTTAAAAAGTGGATCCCCAGAAAAAAAAAGTGTGGGAAACACTGCTCTAAATCAACATTCGTCATGTGGGTAACTTCAGGACTGTGACCTGTTCACACTGGAATCTGATATGGGCCACATTAAAAAAGTAATGTACGCAGCCACACACAAAAAAGCAACAAATCTGAATTGAGAGCTAATGCTTGCAGTGTGAACGCAGCCTTAGAGACTCCTCTGTGCCTGTCAGGTGTCAGTTCTAAATACAACTCTACAAAGTTTCAAATGCTAAATTAAGACGTTATTAAGTACCAAAAGGTGGTCCTTTTTTTATTATTATTAAATAAAGATAATAATTATAATTATTAATGATAATCCTAATTTTAATCTTTGTTTAATTATTATCCAAAATGTTGAGTAAAGGTTTAAAAAATAATACATAAATAATAAAAGATTCATTAAAAAGAATGAATTTAAGAACTGTAGTTCTTAGTGTTCTGTTGTTTTTGTTGTTTTTACTCTGTAAAAGCCTTTTGTAAACCCAATTTTGAAAGGTGCTGTATAAATAAAGTTGATTATTATTAATTATTAATTATTAATTAATTGAAAACAAGTATAAAAGCACAGTTCATACAAAAGATACAAGATACAACAGGTACCAACAGAAGCAGAATGGTTTTCCGTCACGGATTTAATTTCACGAAGGGGTCCCGAAGTACTCACTTTTACTTTGTAAAGAATTCCTGCATACAGACTAAAAGCAGATTTTTCCTGCTTTAAATCCCCTCACATGTCAGTTTGCAGAATGTACACATTTAGGACTTTAAACTCTACATACAAACAAACCTGTTCAAACAGTAACCAAAGTAAATCCATAACCAAAGTCCACTTCTAATGAGTGAACAGATCCTGTCATCAACATGTCTGTGAGTATTAAGATGACTTATTTTACAACTAATAGACTTTACGGACTGTACAGAATACGACAGGAAGTAACAATTACAATGTGAGGAGGTGTGAGGACGGACTTTGAACTTCACTGCAGTTTCATTAGCTTCAGTGTCCTGCAATAGTTTGTTTCCTGTTTCAGACGCTACAGGCTTTAGGAATTTCTTGTGCATGAACATGGTCAAACTCTTTAGCTGCTTGAATCAAAGAATAACTACACCGTCAGGGGCGAAGCCGGGAGCTTTCAACATTCCTTTTTTTGGTGAAATGGTGCGACACACAAGGACACAGGAGAGTCTAATGTGCTGACACTTTTGGTCCACAGGGCCCGGTCAGCATGGAGCTGTCTCCCCCTCCCTCTGGTCTAGAAGCAGAGCACGAGACCCTCTTCACCACCGATTCCCTCCTCTTCCTCCGTGAGCTGATCTCCACATTTGATGAGGAGGTGGATGAGGTAGGCTGGCTGAAAAAGCGCTTTTTATTTAATAAGTTCATTTCAAGTTATCTGCTCTACTCTGCTCTGTCCAGGTCCTGAGGTTGCGAGTGTCCAGAAAGGCCCACTTGGACCTTTCAGGTGACCTGCCAAGCTTTCAGGAAAGTACCAGACACATCAGGAGAGACGCAGCCTGGAGGGTACGCCCTGTCCCCCCAAGGCTCCAGAGAAGACATGTGGATATTGGGGATCTGGCTCCCTGCGATACCCAGCGCTTCATTAAAGCTCTCCTGTCACCAGCACAGGGCATACAGGTACCCCCTCTATTACTCACCTGTGAGCATACCACACCAGCACGATAACTCTATTCTGTGCTCTAATGTTTGGTCATGAAATCCCTTAATATAACTGTTAATGGAGGAGTTACACTTACATGCAGTGAGTAATCTGACCATACCGTAAATACCGACATAGCAACTTTTATAGAGAACTTGGTAATCATTCTCTTATGATTCAATTCAATTACATTTTATTTGTATAGCGCCAATTCATAACAGAAGTTATCTCAGGACACTTTTCAAATAGAGCAGGTCTAGACCGAACTCTTTATAACATTAATTACAGAGACCCAACAGTACCACCATGAGCAAGCACTTGGTGACAAGGGCAAGGAAAAACTGCCTGTTAAAAGGCAGAAACCTAGGACAGATCCTCCGGCTCTAGGTGGGTGGTCGTCTGTCTCGACCAGTTGGGGTGGAGAGGAGAGAGAGAGAGAGAGAGAGAGAGAGAGAGACAGACAGAGACAGACGAGAAGACAGAGAGAGAGACAGACAGACAGACAGGTGCACAGCAACAACAGTATTGGCAACGGCAGTCTAGCAGGACCAAGGGAGGGGGCCCCCCCAAAACCCAAAAAAACCCAGGAAAAAAAAAAAAAAAAAAAAAAGAAGTGAAGTTAGTAACAGAATTGACAGAAGAGGCAGAAAGAGAGAGAGAAAAAGAGAAATAGTTAGGCAATGGCAATCTAACAGAGTTCAGGACCCAGCCTAAATGTTTATCAAAGGGAATTGCCTCTCTTGAAGTGAGGTGTCTCCTCCGAACCACAACTTGTTCCACAGGAGAGGGGCTTGGTAAAAAAAGGCCCCCCCCCCCCCCTCTTTTTTAAAAAAAAAAAAAAAAAAAAAAAATTTAGGATTAGCCCCTCCCACTTCATATTGAAGCCCCGCCTATTCCAAGTACAGATACCAATAAATATAATTTAGTTGGTTGAACAGATGCAGACTATGTACTATGTAGTCCCTCAAAAATTCCACACTGGAACAAAAAAACATTATGCTTACAATCCCACAATGCAATGCACTGCATTTCATAGATGTGAAAATTGCACTACTCCACAGCTGTGATGAGACAGAATTATGATAAATAGTAAGTGTACGAAATCTCAATTTGCAGCTCACTATTGAGTAAACTACTGAGTGTCCGTTACATAGGGAGTAATGAATGAATGATTTCAGACACAGTCCTGTTCTCGGACCATCCCCTGACAGTGGAAACGCTTCTGCCTCTCTTTGGTTTCAGGTTGACTTTGATGATGGGAACTGCCCCACATATCACAACCAGATCAAAGGCATTCATAATGTTTTTAAGGTGGTTCACAACCAGTTCCCCAGTAAGTGGTTATTATTAATTCATGCTGGTTCAGCTACATTACTGCACAGGGACAAGGATATGTGTGTGGATATGCTCATGAACTACACCTCCGTCCTTCTGTTGATAGATGTTCCACCCATATCTCAGGCTCCGGTGCTGATGCTGCGTCCCCGTGCCTGGAACATGGTGGAGCACAACATGATGGTACTAAAGCATTTCCTCTTCCTCACTTCACCCAGTTACTTTATTTATTTAGTGCATGTTGTTGCTGGTTGAATGGATGAATGGTTTGAGTTTGTGGAAGAAAAACAACTGTGGAGCTATAATGTGTTTTGTCAGTGTGTTCTGTCATATAAAGCCCGGTGTGTAGAATTTGGAATTGAGCTTTAATAAAGTTCCTCTGATTTCACACAGGGGGCACTGTAATCTGTCAATTTGGAGTTCCTGGGGCAGTTTTGAATACTATTTAAAAAAATTTTTTTTTAAATAGAATTCAAGGTTTTACAACCTTTTCACCAATAACATAATCAGTGAATAAATGCTTCAGCGAATCTTCTAAATGATTGTATTCCTGGCTGTGTAGAAGGCTTTGAAAAAGCAGTCACACTTTTATGTTGGGAAATAGATTTTATATTTAATTTAACTGAAATCAATTTTCATGCATTCACCCCCACACAGAGTGAGCTATAGAGCTTCTGGTTGCAGCTTAATAATGAAAGTGAAGGGTGCATTCCCTTACATTCTCTTTACATTTCATAATAACAGTTGAGTTCGTCAATTCAAAAACAAAAAGAAAACTGTAGTGATTTTAGAGACACAACAATGATATAAACTGGAGTAAAATACAAAAAGACAGTTACACAAAAAGAGAAAAGAAAGTAAAACAAAAAATGCTTGTATTATTTGAGGGAACTGAAACAACTGATTGTTTGGTCACTCTGCAAAGAATTCATTATAAATATTTGTATTTTTCATTAAAAACTTTTATATTCATGTGAATGTAATTTGAATACCATCAGACAAAATAAGCAGTCTTCAGTATCAGTTTGGTGCTGTGGTGACTTGAGATGGGTATTTGTCATTATTATAGGCTAAATGAGCATATGATTAATCAAAAGAACATAGCCCATATATGAAGACACCATCTGTGTTCTCTGTTATTGTGGCTGTTTGTCAGGTGGAGGGGAAGGAGGCTCCTGGTCCTCTCTTTGACTTTGGACTCCTCATGTTCCACTGTGGAAAGACCCTGTTTGAAAACCAGAGTGGACCCTTTTTCTACCTCTCAAAAGTAACACACACACACACACACACACACACACACACACACACACACACAGTGATGATTTGTGTAATATGAATATAATCCACATTTATACTGTCTCTCCCTGTTTTCCAGGTGGAAAGCTTAATGGAGGCCAGACTATGGAACAAGATATTTGTCTGGACACAACAGAAGGTCTGCACGCATGTCACTGTTTATGCACATATTCAGTCATCTAGTTAAGTCACTTTTATCTGATAGCCCAATATCAGAAATCACACTGATATTGCTTCAAAATCTTTCATTAAATGGGGAAAAAAGTGGAACAAACCTCAGGAAGAGCAACAGAAGAGGGATTCCTCTCCCAGGCAAACAGACAGACATGCAGCACAGAATAGTCGTAATATTACAAGAACACAGGTGAAAATATATTGAAGTGTTGCAGCCAGTGGCCTCAAGAATACTGCAGAACTAGAAGCCTAAAAGTTTTGATATAAAATTTAACTATACTTATGTCATAAGACATAAGAATGAGTTCAATCAATAAGCACCTTATTATCAGATTTTTCTGTATAGTGAAATGAAATGAAAGCACTTAGATGAAGTATGAGTCACATATTCCTGCGTGCTCTGAGGCCGAGGAAGGAGCACAGTGGGGACTGATTCCTCCAGACACAGATCAAAACACACCTTCTGTACAACTGTCGAGCTGTGAAAAGATGCACGTTATCCTAAATTTTGATCTCGTAGCAACCTTTTTCTCCTTATACTATTATGTATATATACATTTCTGTTAAAATATAATTGTGTGGGGTTGTCCTGGTAGCTCACCGGTTGAGCTGGCACTCCATGTACCAAGGTTGGGTGGTTGCTGTCACAGCCACAGGTTTGAGTCTGACCTGTGGACCTTAGCTGCGTGTCATCCTCCCTCTCTCCCCCCTTTTCTGTCTAATATGGGCTGTTCTGTTAAATAAGGCAAAAATATATATAAAAATATATCATTTATATTTGTGAAATAACATCGTTATCCTAAAAATTTTGACTTTATTCCTTTTTATACATTAGTGCATGCAGTGTATTTGTACTCACTCACTTAATGTCACACTAGAGTATAGTAAGTGAACTTGTGTGTGTGTGTGTGTGTGTGTGTGTGTGTGTGTGTGTGTGTGTGTGTGTGTGTGTAGCTGGGCCTGCCACCGGGCTGTATCAAGGCGACGGTGCTGATTGAAAATGTATTAGCAGCCTTTGAGATGGAGGAGATTCTCTACGAGCTGCGGGACCATTCAGCAGGACTCAACTGTGGCATCTGGGATTATTCTGCCTCCTTTGTCAATAAGTTCGGTGAGTCAGACATTGTGGCCTTTAGCTCAGGGGTGTAGTGGTAAATGCAGAGCTGGGTAAACTCCAGTTTGTTTCCGCGTCATTGATTGATAGAGTTCAAAATAGAAGAGTAAACTCATGGATAAACTGAGTTTGCTTGGGGTTACCCTCACTACGGCCCTGATTTGGCTGCTCCTGACATCCCTATGACCCCTATGTTTTCCACTGAGCCTCTGAACCCAATCATTGCTTGAGGGAGGGTCCAGGGTGAACTGTAATGTCAGAATTAGTGTTCATACAATGTATGTATGATGGTGTGTATTTACTATTGATAATAATCTTTCACAATAAGGAAACTGTAGCCACATACAGTTAAAGGGCAATCTCTCGAAAAGGGCAATCTCTGTCTCACTGAAGTCAAGAGGCGATGTGTTTCTCCTCCAGGTCACCGACAGGCCTTCCTCCTTCCCGACCGCAGTAAATACGTCAACATGGAGAAGCGATTTCTGCGCAGCTACATGGACCTGTTGGTTCAGACGTGTCACCGGAGGGGAGCACTGGCCACAGGAGGCATGGCTGCCTTGCTGCTGCCTCAGGACCCACTCAGTGAATCCCACAGGAGAGTGTTGGATACTGTCACCAGGTAGGAGCATTACTGTTAACACACACGTGCATGAGACTGAAAGCTAAAATCATCGCAGTGCAGAAAATCCAAATTCACTGAGTAATAGGATTTATTGTGGATGCGCTTTCTGTCATAGAGCCATTATCACTGACTCAGCCCCTGAAAAGCAACATAGCCTTACAAATAGATCCGTTATTGTTACATCATGTTAATTAAGCACATAGTATACAGAATCATCAGCGTACCTTTACACTGGCGATGTCTTAATTCTATGCTGAGTTGACAGTGCCTGCATTTTTTAATTGAAATATGCGGGCTGCTGTGACACTGTTTTCTCCCACCTCTTAGGCTAAAGATGCTGGAGATCAAGGCAGGTGTGGATGGTTTCATGGTATATGACCTGAGTTTGATTGAGCCCATGCAGAAAGTAAGCACAGAATCATGAGCCATGCAAGGGTTTCTATAAATACAAAGTGACTAATATTGACTGGGGTTTTCTGTTCATGGTAATTCTTCACCTCTTCCAGCTCTTCAAGCTCCACACTGAAGGTGATAATCAGCTTATCCAGCTTCGAAATGATGTAACTGTATCTCCTGATGACCTACTGTCCATGCCTTCGGTAGGTCGATCAGTTAGAATTTAACTGCAGAAGAACAATTATAACACTGCTTAACAATTCATTCAGATTCAGTCATCGGTTGCACCGCCATCTATTTCCAAACACACTGATAAACTCTTCTGGCCTCTCTGAAGTTTACAGATTTGGTTAGCACCATGCAGGCAGAAGGTGATATTTGAATCCTTTACACGAGATTGAGATGGGCGACAAATGAATGGAAAACCCACCTTAAAATGTCTTCGGTTCTGTTCCACCAGCAGCCTCCACAGCAGTGTCAGATTGTCCAAGTGTGTGGGACTCTACTGGAGCGATGAACTGTATTATTATATTATCTCCTCACTGAGTGAGAAATGAACAGCATGATAGAACGTTAACTGTTAGTGATATCAGTCATTATCAAGGTAACGTTAGCTAAATAAGGGCTTGTTTAAAGAATGGATTGTATCTAATGTTAGTTAAAATGAACCCCTCACAGACACTTCTGGATCTGAATGAATCTTCAAATGACAAACAAAGGCACGAACATCAGGTAGCATCACGAGGAGCTCGACTGGCACGGTAGTCATCCAATTGTAACAATGCCATTCCCAGTGTGTGCTGGCTTACCGTACTGCTACACAGACACTACATATACGGTAATATTACTGAAGGTATAAAATGAACACAGACAAGTCATTTGAGTCATCCAAGTCCAGTCACAGGTATTTCACTTCCAACTCTGAGTCGAGTCTCAAGTCATTTATTTTCTGTCGAGTCAGTTTCAAGTCATCAAAACACTGACTCAAGTCTCAATCTCTGACTGCTAGTGTATTACTTTGTTAGCTTATGTAAAAGAACATATGTTGTATTAGTCTCAAATAATAAAGTATACTTTGATGTATTTTGTTTTTCCTTAGGGAGGAGTCACCCTTTATGGTTTGAAGTATAACATTGCAGTTGGAGTCCTCTTTATTAATGCTTGGCTATCAGGTATGTACATTTACATATTCTTGTCCTCCTCATATTTAGGAGCAGGCAGGGTGATGAAGTGTGTCGACTATTGAAACCAGCTTCTGTTTCCTAGGTAGTGGCCACTTTTTCTACAGAGGCCAGGTCGAAGATTCAGCCACAGCAGAGATTTCCAGATCACAGGTGCGTTTGGATCCAAGCTCAGGACCCACCAAGAGTACAACCCAGAGGATTTCCTTTAAACATTTATCTAGGGTTGGTCTAGATAGGCTAAATCAGACTGATCTGTAAAAGACCCTTTTTGACATAAACACAAGTCTTACCAATGACACTAATTACAGTTCTGTTCCATTTAGTGTAGCAGAGCCTTTCCAGTGAGCCAACATGCACAACAGCAGCACCCTGACTCTGTCTGACCTGAATGGAACTTTAATTAGTATCACTGGTAACACCTGTGTTTGCTGTAGCTAACTAACATTGCAAAGCTTAAATGACTATACCTAAAGTATGAATAACTGTGTGTGTGTGTGTGTGTGTGTCAGGTGTGGCAGTGGATCCGACATCAGACTCAGATGGAGGACGACAGCCGGGTGGTGAGCAGGCGGCTGGTGACTGACCTCACCAATGAGGTCATGATGGAGCTCAGCGCTCTCTGTCACTCGGTCAGGTGAGCAGACACTCCTTGAGGACACCTTTTGGGACAAGCCTGTTAAACGTTAAGGACATGTAGCCTATCTATGGTAGATCACTAACTCCAGTGGAATATAATTGTGTCTGCTATAGCACACAGAGATGTATGCATTCACAATCATGGTATAGGACCAATAAACAACAGTCAGGCCACTACTCTTTCATTCTTACTGTATATAACATTTACAAGCCTCTTATACTGGCCTTGTGTCTCTGTCTGTCGGTGTCTGTCCTCCTCAGGGCCAAACAGAGGTTACACACAGCAGCAGACATGTTCCTGGAGGTGGTCCTAAAGAGAGATTTCCCAGAGTTCATCACCACCTACTTGAATTTGGACCACACCTTTCTCCGCTCCCAGAACAGACAGGTGGAGGATCAGGACACAGACATGCCCCGACCCAAACTGTGAAGGTCCAGATGGAAAACCACACACTTTGAGGACACATTACCTTTCAATATTTCTAGATTTAAGTAGCAGAAAGTTAGATGAATCAGCAATCAGTGTGGGTTAAAGACACCAATGTGTACCTCTCTAGAGGAATAAAGAAAACAAGATAAATATGGAGTTAGCGTTAGTAAGTAGTTACTGTAACTCACACTCAAGGTTTAAAACAAATTATAATATTTTCTACCTCTATTATCTGATTAATATATTCATACATATGAATAAATAAAGCATGCCATGCTTTATGTATGATAAAGATGTGACTTGTAACAGCATACAACTGTTGATGTGAGCTACTGCTGGCAAACTGGCAGAAATGTCCTGGAGAACCTGGATATTTAGTTTTCCAGTTTAATTAAAATGACCAAATATCCTGGAAATAATTGTCGTTGTCCTGGAAAATGTTATTTGTATTTCAGGTTAGAGGAACACTGTAGTCAAGTACTGCAGTGATGAGTACAGCGTTATGTAAATACTAGTGCTAACCGTAAATGATATGACGGTTTGTGACTTTGTGAACATTATAAAATGGAAAAAGTCCAAATCATCATAGTAAAACTGTTTCTAATGTAAATCTCCTGGTGTCTCTGTATAGTGATCTTAATTACTGCTGTCCCCAGCACGTATCAACGCTGCAGACCAACTGTAGACTCACCACATACACTGATACAGTCTAATGTTCATTTCCTCCAAGAGCCTTTTCAGTCCATACTGGTCTTTGTGTGTTTATGTATGTGAGCAGAGGCATGCATAAACATTTATCATCATCGTCATCGTCATCATCATCACCAAAGCCTTTATATTTAGTTCTGTACTGAACCTGTATGTTGTTAGTTTTACGTGTGAGCCTGTAAACATGAGCTCTTGAGAAAAGGGACAAAATGGACCTGAACCTATGAGGATGAGGAGCAAAATCCACCGGCCCTGAATGAAAACAACCAATCAGAGCCGAGAATGATAGTTAACTGTTGAGTCTCATTTCCATGGTCCCAAAGCGTCTGTATTTGACACCCTGGGAATTTTAATCATTCTAAACTTTGATCTCTTACTCTTCCGGTTGGAAACTGGTTCTATAGTTGTTTGTATTGCTGGAAGACAAATGGACACTGACTTTGCATACAAAAAATACTGTCCTATCTGTGGCTCAGCTCTTCTTCAGGGCTGAACAGAGGCTGAATCTAAACGTGCACTCTGGACTTGCAGACTAAGCCCTGGCAGATGTCAGTTGTCACATCACATCAAGCTGCTGACAGACAGAACTCAAGTCTGTTTCACTCACTGCTGTGGAAACGTTCGAAGCAACAGTCATATTTCTGGTTAAATATGGTTTCAGGTCAATTTACATATTCATAATACGTTTTTTTTGCTTTTTAGTCGGTAAGTAGAAAAGCTATGTCACATTTGTATTGTAATTAAACAGTTGAAGCCTGACTGTGCAGAAAGTCCACTTTGAGGTCCCTTGTGAACGTGTCCACTTAGTCCTGCGAATCTGCAAATGTCCAAACATTTGGATTTACACAAGGTTACACAGAGCAGCGGACATGTTCCTGGAGGCGGTCCTAAAGAGAGCATCACCACCTACTTGAACCAGGAACACACCTTTTTCAGCTCCCAGAGGTCTGGACAGGTGGAGGCTCTGGACAGATATGCCCCAACCCAAACTGCGGAGGTCCAGCTGGAAGATGGCTTCATGTTCGCTGTTCAACCCTCTCTATAGAGGATGACACACAGCACTTTACCTCACAGAGAATGATGCTTTGTGCCCTCTCAGTACAGCTTACATTTTATTCAATCTAGTTCACTCTACAGTGCCATCAATTCAAACGAGATCCCATCAGAAAACCAGTTTGATTCAAAACTCCCTGACGGTTGATGAACAGGAGCAGGCTGACGGTGCGCCCACCTTCAACTGCTGGAAACAAGTGGTTTTTATGGGAAACCTCACAGCCTGTTCCCACCAGGATCAAACTGCTGAGGTGCAGACAAGGGATCAGCAGGAAGTCACACAAAGCGTCCCGCAGGAACTACAACCTCCCTGGAACATCTTTCCTGTCTGGTTTTGGTTTTGGAAAACAGCAGCTCACATTCTGAACAACACCCCCCCCCCACCACTATCACAATGGTACTGTTTGGTTTTGCAAACATTGTTTTATTAATCCATTTGTCAGTTTGTAATATATAAATTACTTTTAAAAACGTGAGAAGCAGATGCACCTTCGAGAAGGACACGGCGTGAAAACACAGGAGTTATAGAAAACCTAGACTGTGTTTACAGAAGCCATTTTAGCCAGCCAATGTCCACTTTTCCCAGAATCCTCTTTTGCCTCCCCATACCGTATTTAGCAGTTTTTTTTTCAGAACAACTGTGGACAGGGCCTTTTTTTTTTATTGTTTTAAAAAAGTTAATTGGGCGTCGCCTTCCTGCGCGTGCCGGCTCCCTTTCCTGTGGCGCTCAGTCCATCCAGATCAGTGCAATGTGGGGCGACTCACAGCAGCCATAGCCCAGGGATTGGAGAGGGGGTGGGGGAAATGGGTGTGTTGGTGGACTAAGGCGTCTGGCGGCATGTTCGCACCTCCTCTTCCTCCTCCTCCTCCGAGCTCACATCTCGTTTGCCATGTCGTCGTGCTCCCCTGCCGACAGGTCGCCATTGGCACTGATTGTGGTGCTGTTGTCTTGGTAACCGGGAGGCATGAAGGCCAGGCTGTAGGGGAAGATCTTGTGGCAGCTGGCTCGGTACGCCTCGGCGGCCTTCTGCTGGCCCTCGCCCAGCTGTCCGTCGCGCAGAGCCTCCAGCACCTCGGTACAGATCTGCAGCACACACAGACACATAGTCTAAGGACATGTTCTAAATGTGTGTGTGATGTCTGGTGTAATTGTTGGTAAATGACCACAGACCTGGAGGCTTTTTCCAGACAGTGACTCGTCCAGGGCCGTAGCGATCTCACAGGCCATCTTATCAGAGGAGGGCTCCAGGTAGACCATCATCTTAGCAGCTGGGAATACAAGAGACACACACAGACTGATTACAAGTGGTTTAACACAGTAGCCCCTCTCAGACCTTGTTACCCAGATATGACGGGAACTTTACAGACAGCTAGAGAGAGAGAGAGCTGATACAGCAAAGGTCCCAGGTTGGAATCGAACCCGGGCCGCAGCGGTAAGGACTCTGTGTTGTGTGCGCTGCCTACCAGCCACTCGGTGTGGGATGGAGTTGGAGTGTTGGCTCAGGTAATTCTTGTTGAAGCTCTGAGGATTGCTCTCCCCAAACAGCCGGGAGATCTCCTGCTTCAACACCGTCCTCACTGCCTCCGCCAAGTCTGCACTCTCACTCACTGCAAGTACAGACACACACACACACACACACACACACACACACACACACACACACACACACACACACACACACACACACACACACACAAAACGGGTATTTTGTGTGTAAGTATTACTTTTTGGCCTTTATGCCTTTATTTGATAGAGAGATAGCTGGAGATAGACAGGAAAGGGGGGCAGAGAGAGAGGGGACGACATGCAGCAAAGGGCCGCAGGTCGGACTCGAACCTGGGCCGTTGCGTATATGGGTCGCGAGCTCTAGCGACTGAGCTAACCTTTTAGCTCAAACTGAGGCAAACTATTGACAACGATCCATCATTAGTGAGTCTGAGGTGGATGGACAGTGTGTGGTTTCATATTATGGATGTACATGCTAGTTGACATGAGAAATACTAGCCTGTTAAACTAATTCATATATTTTAGGAATGAATAATGCTGGTTAATTACGTATTTACGCCACAAGCCGGGGATATAGCGGCCTCACTCATTCTTATAGTTTCCTGTCAGGTCTCCGTCTGACATGCTTTTCTTTTCCCTTATGTGCACAATTTACCTCTCGCCCAAAAAAGTTTGCTGCTTCTTTTATTTAAAATTTTGAAAAAGTGTGTGGACGGCAGATTAAATGAAACTACCATTGCCCTGACTTCTGTTTTGTAATATAAAATGCGGTCCCAAAATAAAGAATAAAAAACATTTGGGGTTTCAAACTTAGAACACACGCAGGTTTCCGATGTCAAGCACCTGCCCTTCTGCAGCAGACGTCACTGAGACAGGAGCTCAGTGTGTGTTTGAGTGAGAGTGTGTGTGTGTGTGTGTGTGTGTGTGTGTGTTATGCTCACCTCCTTTGAAGAAGCGCACTAGACACTGGTGCAGCCACGGGTTGGAAGGCTCTATGACCACCGCTCTCTTTACTGACTGCAGCATCAGCAGGTACTTCTCTGGAGGAATGAAGACAAACTGTTCGGACTACAGAAATGAGTGTGGGAAACGTGGTCTAATGCACCCTGCTAGCATCTGGTCTGACCTTTTCTGAAGTAGATCTCGAAGGCCAGGAGGTGAGTCTCGATCTTATTGCGCACCAGGTTCTTGAGGGGGATCAGGAACTTCACCGCCTCCTCCAGAGGACTCTCCGGCTGGTAAAAGATTAGGTCACGTTATCGTACTGTAATGATTCTACCAACAACCCCCCCTCACACTGAAAGAAGCATGAGCCGACCTTGGACAGTTTGTCTGGTATTAGCTCCTCTTTAGGCCCTCCTATCTCCTCATCATCATCCTCCTTCTTCTTCTTCTGGTTCTTTAGCAGTTTCTCCTTCTCTGCATTCTTCTTCTCCTCCTCTAGCTGTGCCTTCTTCTGGGCTCTTCGCTGTTTGTTGCGCAGTTTCTTCAGCTCCTTGTCTGTCAGATTCTCTGCAGAGACCAATAGCAAAACAGTCAGTTTTATGTCTTTTCTTTTTAACATGGTACTGTCACCAAACTGCTATTGTTTTACAAACTGTTAGCTACTTTTTGACTAAACTGTGCAGGAACTATGGAACCACAGAACTAAAGTGGGAAGCAGGGATCTCACTCCTTTTAAGAAATCATTTCCCAGGACCTTTCCAGGACAGTTTCCAGGAGTTTTCTTAACAATACAGGACAGCACTTGCTCACCAACGACGATATCATTTGGCGGTAAGCCCTGCATTAGCTCACTTTTGTGGCGCGAGCTGTTCTCACCACAGATGATTTTTCAGCAGTGGTCTCAACGGGGGTCTCCAGCGAACTCACTTTACTTTACTACAACTGTAACATCATTTACACACAGCTCACAAGTTCCAATCACGTAGAATTTATTTCATTTTCCTCTCCTGTAGATAGGACCGTCTACAGCATTGCCACTGGGATTACTTTAGAATTCTGTTCATTGCTACGGAAAACGTTTTTCCTGAAATGGGTCCTTGGCCCCTGCAAAAGTTCCCAACAGAATATTCTACATTCTGTACAGTACACATATCTCAACAACAATTCTTAGGAGGGAATTATGGTATTTGCAGCTAAATATAGCCA